AAATATATATAATTATATATAACTATATAATACTTTCTTATAAAATTATAATTGTATATTATATACATAATTAGGCTCACCACATGCTTTATTGTCTAAACAAAACACTTTTGAGAGACAAGGAGAGTGCTATTCATAATTTGGCCAGGACCACTCAGGTAAACTTGAACTACTGATTCTGGGGAAACTGACAGATATTTGGCTGCCTTGTCTATTGCTTCCTTCAGCTCTGACATCCTGTCCTCCTCCACAAGCACCCCTGAGTCCCTTCTTCACGTGCCATAGCTGGCTCAGTGCCTGGCACATCCCGGATTCTCACTAAGTGCCCCGTTTCCTTTTGGTCAGCTTTTCTGCATTCTTTATGTAATCAAAGCCATCGATCTGTTCTTTACTGTCTTATAAAGTTGAATTGTCCCCACAGCAAACAGCTGCACCCTCCCACTGCAATTTTACATTCTGTATATCACCATGTGATCACCACGATCTGTTCTTTACTGTCTTATAAAGTTGAATTGTCCCCGCAGCAAACAGCTGCACCCTCCCACTGCAATTTTACATTCTGTATATCACCATGTGATCACCACTAAGAACAGTTTTTCAAAGAAGGTAAATATTCAGGTATGAAGCCCATTAATTTTCCAGGTCAAAAAAAAGCAGCAGGGGCTGGCCAGTTAGTTCAGTTGGTTGAATGTGGTGTTGCAACACCAAGGTCAAGGTTTCAGATCCTCGCATTGGCCTGCTGCTAAAAAAATATAAAAGCAGCCAAAGGGTATAGGTGGCCAGTGTGAAGTTCTGCAATTACTCCAGAGTGGTAGTGAAAAACAAATTTTCTCAACTACATTGCCCATGGAACATATTAACCAAATAAGACATAAAAGAGAGAAAACCTGAAACATATGCTCATCTATACATTTTGCAAATCTTAGAAGCAAAGAACACATTCTACACAAATCAAAACTCTGATTGCTCTAAACCAGGTAGCCTGGAGCTGCCCTGCATATTTCCAAGCATGGAATATAACAATTTGTTAAGCTTCTAAAAAGTTAATTGCTTTTTAAGGAAAGAGCATCTTTGGCTATAATACATTTTTTTTCAACACCAGTACTGTTTTATGTCTTGTAAGCACCTGTCCATCTACTTACTTCTCAACTGTAATTGAGGGCAGTGTGGGGGGTGGGCAGGGAAGGAGCAGGAGAATGAGAGTCAAACCTCTGTACTCAAGGAGACCTCTGTCCTCCGGAATGTTCTCCCGCTATTAATTAAAGAACTACAAATATGAGTCACACCCATGGGTTTACGGGTGACATAAGTAAATACTCTGAGAACATCTCTGATGGAGGAAATGAACATCCACTCAGTCCATAATGAAATCAGAAGGCAGGAGGGTAGAACAAACGCTACAGAGTCTCAGGAAAGGAACTGGCCTCGGTGTAAAAACAACTGGGCACGTCAGTTCGCTTCCTACTCCCCTGGAATAATCCAAGAAACAAGTGGTGGAGATCACATCAGTTATGAATGAGACAGTCAGGAAAAGCTCTACTGGCATGTTGGCAAGGCCTGAATAAAAAATCCTTGTAAACAGAATGAAAAGGAAAATGCCAGGCAAAACCAGCACTGTTTCTCTACTACAAACTCTGAGAAAGGGAAGTGCCTACTTTCTGAGAACTCTCTAGAAAATCTGGACAGGTACTAATCGCCAAAGTGTTTAAGACTTTCTCATCCTTAAAGTTGTATAAAACCCCAAGCTAAGACTTACAAAATTTTGTTTCATTTTGTTTGTTTGTTTTTGGCAGCTGGCCAGTGCAGGGATCTGAATCCTTGACCTTGATGTTATCAGCACCATGCTCTAACCAAGTGAGCTAACCAGACAGCACCAAATTCTGTTTTTAAGAGAGGTTTGCCCAAACAAAGGAAGTCTGGGTCTGTCTTCATGGGCCAAAGGGTTTTAGAGTTCAAGAAATGCCTTCCCCAGCCTTGAACTTGGGGATGTCTCTTGCTGGTCACCTCGCAGACTAGCAAGCTCTACGCCCCACACCCTCCTCTCCAGAGCAGCAGATACACAGGGGCAAGCTCGGAATGCCAACAGGGCCTTCTAGCACTTTCAGTGAAAGAAGGAACTCTGGGACCTCAGAAAAAGGCATTTCTTTGTTTTGTAAACAAACACGTTGGATATTAGGATAAAGTTCCTTTTCTTATTCGTTCTCTCTGTTAACTCTCAAGTTCATTCAGAACATTCTATAGCTTTCCATCAATCAGTCCCTGGTTTTCTCCAGCCCTTGAAAAGCTACTTCTAGTACCAAAAGATCTGAAATGATCATTTAACATTTTACATGGATGCCTTATAATTTTCACATTTTTCTTATGTCTCTCGACATTCTGTTTGGCCTAACTTTAGTCAGGCTTCTGAACCTTCTCCTAGGCCCATCTGTGCACTTCTTTGTAAAATCCAGTTTCAGCAAAAAAATATTTGATCACCCTCAATCTTTGATCTGGTTCCTCATCCTCCACCACCCTCAGGTGATGTCTGATCACCCCAGCCTATAACAGCATGAATCCTGTTGGGTCCGTTTAGCCAGATTTCCCCTTATCCCTGATGTTTCCTCTTAGTCATTTTGCATCCACTGACCCTACACTGCCCCTTGGCTGTGAACTCGCCCATGTCCGTGCTGTGTTCAGAGTTGAGCCCAATCTCTTCTCCACTGCAAGACTCCATTACAGTCGTCCCCACAGCCATCGTGATGGTCTGGAATAAAGGCTGCCTTACTGTGCTTTCACATGCATCACTAAATAACTTTTCTTTAACACTCTTTAATGATCCAGGAACACCCTTAAAATCACTCTTAAGAGGCGGAGACAGTAATTTGGGATCACTTCCTCCTGTTCCAGTCTTAGGACTGTATTTCACCTGCTGACCCATTTCAACTGCACTATGTGGGAGCCCTGAAGACGTAGGGGGGGAGACCTAGGCAGGGACCTGAGAGGACAGATCTAGGGACCTTCTCCTTTCCCTCCACTGCTTCACTCTCTGACCCAACATAACACCTGCCCATGACGATTGTTGCAAGAGGAGGTTTCTAGTTTCCAAACAAATAAATTGGTCAACTATCTCTAAATGGACCACGTTACTTGAGTGGACTTCAAAATTAAACCCCTTCTCCTCATCCAGTGTGAGGCCTGGCTGCACACTAACTGTTGGTGGAGCTGCAGGCACAAACGGGATGCCTGTTTTGCCCCTGCAGAAACTCTGGATTGCAAAGTGGATTCATCAATACCTTTCCCTAAACAGTAGCCCCTTTGGCAGCCATCACTGGGCTTGAGGCCTGGCTGCACACTAACTGTTGGTGGAGCTGCAGGCACAAACGGGATGCCTGTTTTGCCCCTGCAGAAACTCTGGATTACAAAGTGGATTCATCAATACCTTTCCCTAAACAGTAGCCCCTTTGGCAGCCATCACTGGGCTTTCTGGCTGAAGGCAGGTGATTGAAAAATGACTCCAATTCTATTATCCAAGAAAATGTATGGCCTGGACTCAAAATACCAGTTCAGTCACTCCCTAAGGTTGGTGGGTCATATCTTTATCAAAGAAAAAAATAAAATTATTGTTAAACCACTCTAAAAAATTAAAAACCACACCACCTAAAACACAATGCATCCATCAGGACTTAGAGACACAAAAATAACAGTATTCATCTCTTGAGATATTGAGCGGATCACGATGAAAAGAACATCTGTATAAAGCACCAAGACACAGTGCCTGGTGCACAGTAGGTGCTCGACAAAAAAATAAACAGCAGCTACTGTTTTTAGGGAGTCTGTAGACCAAGGGCAATCAGGTGGGGGAGACAGACACCAGCTACTCTGAAACCCTTTCTCTGCACATACTTACTGTGTCTCGGCCCCCAGCAGCATCTCCACTTTCTCATTGGCATGATTACTAAGGACTGTCAGAGTAAAGAGGTGACTGGCAGAGCTCTGTCTTGAATAAAGCATTGTGGAACTGTTCTTCCCTGGAGAAGNCTCTAAATGGACCACGTTACTTGAGTGGACTTCAAAATTAAACCCCTTCTCCTCATCCAGTGCGAGGCCTGGCTGCACACTAACTGTTGGTGGAGCTGCAGGCACAAACGGGATGCCTGTTTTGCCCCTGCAGAAACTCTGGATTACAAAGTGGATTCATCAATACCTTTCCCTAAACAGTAGCCCCTTTGGCAGCCATCACTGGGCTTTCTGGCTGAAGGCAGGTGATTGAAAAATGACTCCAATTCTATTATCCAAGAAAATGTATGGCCTGGACTCAAAATACCAGTTCAGTCACTCCCTAAGGTTGGTGGGTCATATCTTTATCAAAGAAAAAAATAAAATTATTGTTAAACCACTCTAAAAAATTAAAAACCACACCACCTAAAACACAATGCATCCATCAGGACTTAGAGACACAAAAATAACAGTATTCATCTCTTGAGATATTGAGCGGATCACGATGAAAAGAACATCTGTATAAAGCACCAAGACACAGTGCCTGGTGCACAGTAGGTGCTCGACAAAAAAATAAACAGCAGCTACTGTTTTTAGGGAGTCTGTAGACCAAGGGCAATCAGGTGGGGGAGACAGACATCAGCTACTCTGAAACCCTTTCTCTGCACATACTTACTGTGTCTCGGCCCCCAGCAGCATCTCCACTTTCTCATTGGCATGATTACTAAGGACTGTCAGAGTAAAGAGGTGACTGGCAGAGCTCTGTCTTGAATAAAGCATTGTGGAACTGTTCTTCCCTGGAGAAGAATTAAGCTCTTCATTGTCACAAGATTCCACCAATAGTTGATCTCTTAAGGAATAATCATTGACGTTGTAGCTTTCTTCACTATAAGAAAAAGGGAGAAGAACGTGTCAATTATTCAGTGGATAAGACTGACATTGTCAGTTCTCGAGTCACATTTTGGAGGTAAGTGGCAAGGGGGTAGGGAGGGAGGAAAGGGAGACAATGACTTATTTTAAAATATGAATTGGAATCTGAATTATATCTACTGATGATGAATCAATGTAACCCCCTCCAATGAAATCTGTTGCTATTTTTATGTATGTAACATACTAATTTGCATCTCATGTATAAAATCAATATTAAAAATATATATATAAACCCTCCAGGTTTCATTTGACATCAGCCTGGAACTGTCATCCCAGTAATGCTCAAACAAGCACACCTCCCCAGTTTCCACACCTCCATCCACAGAATAAAGAGGGAGCCCCAAACCTACCCATGCTCCAGCTAACGAGGCCTCACCCCCCACTTCCAAACAACCAGGCGCAGGACAGGAGAAGGGCCCCAGAGTTCTGCTTGCTTCTGGCAGGACACCCGACCCATCCTTCCCTCCCACACTCACAGCTTCACCGTCTGTGTCTGAAACCACCAGGACAGATCCCGCCATGTCACGTTCCCTGTCCCTCTGATGTGCAGGGACCCCAGCCCCTTCATTCCTGCAGCCTCTCACGCCCATCGCACTGTGAACAGGCCTGATCCGGTCCCACCTGCTTCAGCTCTCAGCTGGCTCCTGGACCCTCCACTGTGCCCCCTGGGGACGGACCTTGTTAGGGAATCCAGTAAAATCTATAAAATGCTCAGCCTCTTCTGGGAACGCTCCCTTTACCTTCTTGCCTTTACAGACACTTGGCTCTCCCTGGAGGACACCGTACCCCCTGAGGGCTCTCTGCCTGTTTGCTTCTCCGTCCTGCTTCCGGACAATGCTCAACTCCTCTTCCCCAAAAGTCCTCGGCCTTCAAGCTCATGCCATCGTCTCCATCTCATAATCATAATCACCTACTGACCCCGAATCACTCCCTATCCTTTCTTATGACTTTACTTGCTGCTGGCTCATTGTCTCTCTCCAACACTTCTTTCTTGAATTTCCATGTAGAGGATACTTCCATCACCTTGACCTCTCAGTTCCTTGATTTCTTCTTCTCCAGTGATCTTGTCCTCTGCCCTACTTCAGCCACCTATCCATGGTCATACCTTAGACCTTGTCATGACCATCAACTACAACCTCCCTGTAACCCCAGCATCAAACATACCACCCTCTAACCAGCACCCCCCTCTTTTCAACTCACCTCCTCTAGTCCTCAACCCCAACAATTATCTAACCCAACAGTTCCTACAACCCATTGACTTTACCCCTTTCTCCCTGACCTTGAATCCTTCATGGCATCCTGTTCATGCATACCAAATTACCCAGCCTCGATTTCTTGGTACCTAGTTAAAACCACTCCTTGCATACATGCTCATCTCCTTGGATGTACCTGCCTGGAAAATCCCAAACCTGGTCAGATGCAGCTTTCCCTCTATTCCGCATCTGTACCCCTGCAGCTGAACAGGGGGGAGCTCAATAAATAACTGATAAGTGAATGGATGAATACACAATACACTCTAACATATTCTAGGAACAGGGAGTAATTAACTTACTTAATAACAAATGCAAATATATGAGCTCAAGGGAGCTAAGAAAAAAGAAAGATCCTCGTGCCCAATCAAACATACTAGGAATTTCAGAACAGGCCACTTTGCTGAAGATTTCTTGGAATTTCTTTTGTGCAGTGGTGGACACTGCCTGTCAGCCATTGCTTTGTAACTCTTCTTGAAAAACTTTATAATCTTTTCTAAAATTTAGTTCAATAGATTCTCCCCTCAGAAAACAGCAAACACAGTTATCTATAAAAGCAAAATACTGACTCCCGATCAAGCCTATTTTTTGCTAGGATACTAATCTGCATTAACTGAAAGTTCATGTCGTAAGATCATCTCCAAAGTTCTCCCGAGACTGCCTACAGAACGGCGCACCCACACCCAGGATACATAAAATGCTTCCCATATTCAACGTGAGACTTATCGAGGCACACATGATGTTTATAAAAGGAGGAAACAGGATAATACACTTTATAATCAAATATGATTATATTTTTAAAAGACCATGTTTACTAGAAACAAAGCAGTCAATTTTTAGCAGAGTGGAAAAAGGTCATAATGTTGTGTAAATGTCTCAGACATTAATAGCCAAGGACTCAGGATGAAAACCTCCAAAAAACAAACAAATGAACGAAAAAAAACCCCATCAAAACAAAAGCAAAAACCTCAACAACAATGTCAAAAATGAGAAAAAGAAGATGAACTAGGGTCTGCTTTTCTCTGTGCTCTCTCTGCATCTCCTAGTTACACTTTTGGTTCAATGCACAAGCTAGAAAAGATGACCTGTCAGTCAAAGGCACCTGTTTCCAGTTAAAAATAATTCTGCTTCAGGCAGAGAAATTGGAGGAACCTAATGTTGTGAACACAGGGTATTTAGGAAGGGCTCAAAACAATGACATTTCCATAGATACCATAGGCATTGCCAAAGAACAAAAGCCAAAGTAATGTATATGTGGTAAGAGTTGAATGTCTGTACCTTCCAAAACTCATGTGGAAGACTGATCCCCAATGAGGCATTGTTGAAAGGTGATGCCTTTATGAGGTGATTGGACAGTGAGGGTTATTCCCTCATGAATGGATTAATAATGGGTTATCATGGGTGTGGACAGGTGGCCTTATACAGAGAGCATCTGAAAGTGTTCTTGCCTTTCTTGTCATGTGATACCCTGCATCCCCATGGGACTCTGCAGAGAGTCCCCAAAAGAAGAAGACCCTCACCAGATGTGTTCCCTGGACCTCAGACTTCCCAGCCTCCAAAACTGTAAGAAATAAGTTCTGTTTCTTTATAAATTACCCAGTTTCAGGATTTCTGTTATAAGCAACAGAAAATGGACTAATACAATATTCTACAGCATAAACTGTTTTCACCTATTAAGTCGTCCCCAATAAAATTCAAGACCAGTAGTTCACAGGAAACTCATATAAACTAACATTAATAAATTAGTTAAGTCTTTTTTCCTCTCTTAATTTTCAGAATTCACATCTACCCCAGTTTTTGTCTAAATGCAAATAACACCAGCTAGTATGTTTCATTGATGCTTTGGATCTTTGTCTTTTGGGAGTAATTACAGACAGAAGGAGATAATTTTTTAAAAATGTTTATTAATTGTTCTCTTAAGTGGTGACAACTACAATACCATTGATTTAGAGCTAGGGTGGCCGTCTGACCCAGTTTATGCCTGCTGTCCTCTCATATGTCCAGTGTGGGTGATGAACTGCAGCCACTCTACTCATAGCTATGTGAGTTCACCCCAAGTATCTGTTTCCACACATCTGCACAGCCTGAACAGGGAACTGTGCTCACTGTTTGACCTTCTGGATCC